TTTAACGAATCCTAAATTTACACCCCAATGCTGTTTCTATATAGGAGACCTGAGGTTAAGTTCTTGGCTATTAATTGAAAGGTGAGTGGTTTGAACCCACCAGATGCTCCACAGGAGAAAGTTGTGGCCGTCTGTTTCAATAAAGATCACATGTGTTGTTGTTAACTGCTATGTAGCCAGCCCCACTCATAGTGCTCTGTACAAAAATTAGGTGGGGGTGTCACAATGAAGATGAATGATATGACATGTCCTGGTTCGGTCCTACTGTCCCTTCAAAGAATTGGTAGGGCAGGGCATAATATGCACACAAAAAGTGCCAGAGGTTAAAGAGATTTATTAAAGCATAGTTTCTCACTCTACTTGTGAGTGACGAATGTGCTGAATAAGTTTCTGGTTTCACTTTTTATGCTTTCATCCTCTAGAGCGAGCTCCAGGTCTCCTGATAAGTATCTGCTGCTTCCTACATTTTTCTATCATAATTTAGGGCCCATAATTGGTTATTTCTTCCTGAGTCTGATGTGCTTTTTTCTCATTGCATCAGTCTGCTATAACTGTATTCATGAGTTAACCATAGTGCTGACTTATTTTATGGCATTATCGTTAGTTCCTTGATCACATCAGATCAGTTTTATTCTTCTCTGTGCCTGCCTACTTTTGGTGAAAGTCCCCTGTTTTGTCTTTTCTTTTACTAGACTCTTCTGACAAGTCTGGTCGTTTCCTACATTCTTTGTGGTTGATCTGTGGTTAGCCCCTATTCCCCTAACTACCTAAAATTACCTCCTGACCCTATACTTTACCCTGATGTTTCAGGAATATAGATGATGACTCATTCTTAGCTGCTTCCTGCTGAAAAGGGGCACCATTGGGTGGCAGATCTTACAGTGCCTCCTATCTGTATGTTAGAGTTGCAACAGATGCATGTCGGAGTTGTCGACTGTCACTGCCCAGTGCAGTAGGAGAGAGTACAGGGAATGGTTACACAGGCTATTGTCAGAAGGCTTGTCCAGACTGACCTATTGTATTAAGGAGAACAGGTTCACCATACATTGGAACCTATCCTTGGGTTAGCAGCATTAGTCTATGAAAAGTACCAAGTCTTTTGTTAGCAAAAGAGGTTAGTAAATTTAATAGACAAATCCCAAACATGACGAGAAGTAATATAGTAATTAAGGGTCCAAGCAATGGACAGAGGAGAGACATGTTTTTATTTGTGACCACAAATCTTGAGTGAAGACATTTCTCTGTTCTTATAGCCACTTACTGTTTTCCAGGATGTGTTGTACTTTGAGTTCAACTTCACCTGTTGCCTTTATGTAAATGTAACAGGTTGTTTGAGCAACTTCATGGACTACACCCTCTTTGGACAGTAGATAGTCAAGGACTATGCAATGGTCCATGACCACATTGGACAATGTTTCTAATGATTTTTGAATGGTTCTTAGTGTTTGTCTAGAATTCTCCCCTAGCTCTTCTTCGCTGTTGATAAACAATTTCGAATGGCTGCATGGTTATTCATAATTCTGTATGTAACAGATCCAACAGCCACTAGAGCAGTTATGCCCAGGATTAGGAAGATGAGAAGTTCCCTTTCTATTCTTTGGGAAGGTGTATCAGTTAAAGTTGGCGAAGGGTCATGTCACAGATCTTGAACTATTTGGAATTCCCCAGATATTATTGTTAAGTGCTGTCAACTCAGTACCAACTCATAGCAAACCTATACACAA